CTCTCTAAAACTCTCAAAAGATTGTAACAATGGTGAAGAAGGAGCTCTTCCTGGAAACTGGGGGTGTTGATTCCGGTGCCAAAGAAGTCTCTCGATCAGACTTCCCTCCCAATTTTTTAATCGGAGTCGCCACCTCTTCATATCAGGTGTTCTGGGTTTTGTTTTGATCAGGTCATCATGCATCATATTATGCATACCTGACTCTTGGCTTGAATTCATCTCCAATTTGCGAACTGGGTTTGGTCTGATTCTCCCGTACTCACTTCTCATGTTCTGTTTGGTGCTTTGACTGAGAATTCTATAAGAGATTGTCCATGTTTGTGTATCTTCGTAATGGTATCCATTTCTTACAAATAATGAGATGGGTTTTAGTTCTTTTTAGTTTCTCTGTATTGACCAGTGGCAGAGCCAAAATTTGAGATGAGGGGCCAAATGTTTGGACACTTAAATCCAACTTGTGGAAAGTATTATTTCTCTGTTATGTTTTAGTTGTGTTAATTTTACTTTTGTATAAAGTTCGACTTGATGGTGCCTTTGTATAAAGGATTGTGTTCCTATAGTAATATTAGCCAGGCCAGTGGGTATCTAGTCTTTTAATGTAATATCCATAAAAATCGAAAGAAGACTTCAACAATTTTGAATCTAATTGATTGTTTGTTTCATATCTTTAGATTGAAGGTGCTTGCAAGGAGGGTGGCAGGGGTGCTAGCATATGGGATTCTTTTTCACACACTGAAGGTTTGTACCATATTCTCTAAAGAGAAAGAAATGACAATCTTCTTTGTCATCAATCGGCTTATCATTCTGAAACTGGACTTTATACCTTGTTATGATAATGAAATTTTGTTTGATTGTCTTTTAAAATTTCTCCTTTGTAAAGGAAAAACTGTTGATGGAAGCACTGGTGACATAGCCGTGGACCATTATCATCGATACAAGGTCAGTGTTATAAGTTGTTTCTAGCTCACTTCTTTCATTTGCTTTCCCAGTGCCTTTGTGTTGTTGTTTTCTGGTGCTTATCTCCGTTGATTCCTTTTTCTCTCTGGGTTTGGTGAGGGGAGTTTGCTGAGATAGAAAGAGACGGTGCTCCCTTGGCTGTACCTTATAAGTTGAATAGTCTGTCTAGCTATTTTACTTGAACTCCCATAAGGGAAATATTAAATGTTGAAAATTCTTAATGTATTTGAAAGTGTACTAGCGAGGTCAAAATTCTACGTTGTAGGGTGATGCTTGATAGCCATATTTTCTTCAATTTAATCTTTCCGATTCTACCTTCCTGAATGTAATCTTGATTTACAGGAAGATGTTGACCTTATACATAAGTTGGGGTTTGATGCTTATCGATTCT